GTGTGGGTGAGAGGGTGGATGTCTGTGTGTGTGTGTGTGTGTGTGTGTGTGTGTGTGTGTGTGTGAGAGAGAGTGTGTGTGTGTAAGAGAGGACTCTCTCCCTCTCTCGGCTTGTTTGAGATGAGCAGAATCTGCGCAGAACCGATCACCGGTGATCACCGCGAGATGCATGCCGGTTAGAAATGTGTTCGAGTTACGTCCGACTTGCTCTGATGTCATGCTGACGTGTGCAAAAAAACTCTGGCGACGGCAAGGCGGGTGTGTCGGATTGTGCAGTCGACTGCGCTGACCTAAAGCATGATGGGAAACGACTGACTGACGTCACAGCTTAATGCTCATTGGTTCAGACAACTGTGATGCTGCGGTTCTCTTCTAAAATATTTTATTTTTATCTGATTTCATATGATTATGTATTTAAATTATGCATGAATATTCCCAAACACGATGACAGTGCGATCTCTGTGTGAGATATGTGATTGTTGTTATATTTCTATAACAATCTAAAGCACATGTTTGTATTAAAGTAAAAATGGATGATAAATACACCTTTCATATGGAATTAAATAGCAAGCACTGAGTGTCTTGTTCATCATATTTATTTTTATATAAAAGCAACAGAACTGAAATTATATCATGTTTATTAGCAACAGCACTTGAGTGAGAATAATGCGATATCTGTCTTTGCTCTGGTTGGTATCGGTTCACTTCGAGAGGTCAGATCGGTCCGTCTTGACTGTCAGCCGCCTGCATACTTCTCAGGTGAGGCATACTTCTCAGGTGAGGCATACTTCTCAGGTGAGGCATACTTCTCAGGTGAGGCGAGGCGCATATCTGACAGCACACCAGCTGCTCTCGAAGTATCGCGGTACTTTGATGCCACACGTGACAGTGTTCTGACAAAATAATGCTACCTATCAGATTATGCTACCAACACTGTATTTATCCTGCTGTAAGGGTAGGTGTACATGCTAATAAAGCCTCGCACCTTATTAATATCATGCTGGAAGCTAAGTCTGACAGGTAGCACTTTTCGCTATCGAATTACGCTACCATCTGCTTTAATGGGAGGTAGCTAAATCTGACAGGGTTGCACAAATCGTCCGGTTCAAGTCGGACAAAATTTGTAACCGGCATGCATTGCTTCAAGTCAGCCGCCGATCGATCTGCGCAGCGCCGCATGAAGGCCACGCGCGATACAATCATCAAACACCGACACCGGATCTAATAAACATTTATATACACTGTATAACAGACCCCGAGATAAAAGCCCCAGACAGCGTCCGCCGTTTAATCACAGAGCAAAACGAGAACAGGAAGAGTTTGAGCAACATCAGAAAATCCCAAGAAAGAAGAAACGAAGCACAGAAGAAATCGCAGAACTGTGAAACAAGGCTCATCGCACATAGAGAAGCAGATCTTCCTCATAAACCGACACTCACGGGTTCCGTGGACGCAGTGAAGCAGAAGAACCGAGCAGATGAAGCCGACCGGAATCTCCATCACCTGCACCGTTCCGATCAATCACAGATATCGATCAGTCCCGGAGGCGCTGCTCGCTGTTCTCAGTAGTTGAATCTGATCAGAGGTCCGCGAATCGCCGAGATGCTTGAGCGGACCGGTACCGCACTCCCGTGATCAGTGACGGGGCAGTTCTGCCCTCTCGGGGTAAATCCCAGCCATTTGAATGAAGCCGCGGGGGGCGTGGCTCTGCAGTGGTGTGATATTTGAAATGAGGAACGTCAGCGCTGTGGGCGGAGCCTCGCGGTTAATTCTCTTATCATTACGACGGTTTACACACGGGGCGCTTCCTCGTGCAGATAAGAGCATGAACGAGACACAGAAGTATCCGAGCATCTCGTTAACTCTGTGAGAAGCGTGTGCTGCGTGTTACACACATGCTGAGATACACATGCATGACAAACACACGCTGTGCTCCTTCGTCGGGTTTTTTAAAGCTCATATCTAACATGGACACTGGGCTAATATCATTTACATGAGGCCGGGACTGATAGAAGCCACAGAATATAAATCAAGCTGACTGAATGGTGCCTGAAACCCCCGAGTCCCTGAATCGGTCCCCCAGGGGCCAAAACGCCTCACACTGCTCTTACTGTGAAAGCAGCTCACAGATACTCAGAATGTCCCTGTTCCTTCAAAATAAGAGATGAATATTGATCGCACTGTAAAATTTCAAACTGAAAACAAAAATATTTCCCAGAAATGAGGATCAGCCCTGAATTTGTTTAAGCGGAATCATATTACATAGAATATAAAGCCTGAGATCATCTGCCATTTACAATATCATCAATAAAACAGTCAAAAAACTGAAGGTGACGCTGTCAATTCAAGTCACCTTTATTTATATAGTGCAGATTGTCAAGCAGCTTTACAGTGTTAAACAGGAAAACAGTGTCGATAATGCAAGAGGACAATCAGTTTATCAGTTAAAGTCAGTTCATTGTTGATTCAGTGATGTGCAATCAGTCAAGCGTCCCCAACTAAACAAGCCAAAGGTGACAGCGGCAAGAAACCAAAACTCCATCGCTCACAGAAATGGAGAGAAACCCTTGGGAGAAACCAGGCTCAGTCGGGGGCCAGACCAAACCAGCACAGTGCGGTTTAATTCCAGGCTGCAGCACAGGTCAGATTGAGCGGAGGACTCGTCTGGTCATCCAGGTCTTCGCAGGGGATCTGTCTCTAGGGATCGTCCAGCTCAGCCGGAGGGAACATGATTTGCATTGTATTTGTAGATGCAGGGAAATGATGTTTCCGAGCTCCAGGCCTCCATTAACAGATGAGTTACTCGCTCAATATCAGGAGCTCAGCCTGAATGCCACACGTGGACCGCTTGTATTATTTATTATTATTTGCATATTTAAAATCACTCTTCAGTGCGGAGGAAAACTAGTTTGCAAATGTGATATCCTGAAAGCTCAAAACAATCGTATGCACCTTATAATGAACTGAACGGTGTTCAATATGGTTAAAGTGATGAGGAATCAGGCTTGTGAAGCAGAGGGAGTTTCACGAGGGTGAGACAGCTGAGAAAGAGAGAGAGAGACAGGACGATGACACACTCTCTGAACCATGAGTGGAATGCTGAAATGTCTGTTGGATGACTTCAGGAATGAGAGGAACCTCGCCTCAGAAGATCGTCCCTCACACAGACCTCAGACTGTTGGAGAGTGTGACGGTGTTTGCAGAAGCTCCTGAAGACCAATACCGCTCTGCTATAGCTTTACAAACACCTTGCAGAATATGCTAAATGTTAATCATTTTAAAAGGATCATGAAAATAGCTGAAAATGAAAATAAGCTGCTTCACAACAGATGCTTACATTTACTTCACAAGACAACTCAAATTGAATTAAATTGATAAAATCTGTTCAAAATTGTACATACCCTTTAACCGTAATACTGTGCGTCATTACCTGGATGATCCACGACTGTTTTTGTTTTATGATAGCTGTTCATGAAAAATCCTCCAGCTGCAGCATCTTCTGCATATTTGACCCCTTTCCAACAGTGACCGAATGACTGGAGATCCATCATCACTCAAACACAACTATTACAGAAGATGAAAACATTTACTGATGCTCCAGAAGAACAGTGTTTAAAGTCATGAGTCCAAAACAGTGTGAATGGAGGTACACACAAACTCATCATCATCATCATCATGCCAGACCAAACCAGCACAGTGCGGTTTAATTCCAGGCTGCAGCACAGGTCAGATTGAGCGGAGGACTCGTCTGGTCATCCAGGTCTTCGCAGGGGATCTGTCTCTAGGGATCGTCCAGCTCAGCCGGAGGGAACATGATTTGCATTGTATTTGTAGATGCAGGGAAATTATGTTTCCGAGCTCCAGGCCTCCATTAACAGATGAGTTACTCGCTCAATATCAGGAGCTCAGCCTGAATGCCACACGTGGACCGCTTGTATTATTTATTATTATTTGCATATTTAAAATCACTCTTCAGTGCGGAGGAAAACTAGTTTGCAAATGTGATATCCTGAAAGCTCAAAACAATCGTATGCACCTTATAATGAACTGAACGGTGTTCAATATGGTTAAAGTGATGAGGAATCAGGCTTGTGAAGCAGAGGGAGTTTCACGAGGGTGAGACAGCTGAGAAAGAGAGAGAGAGACAGGACGATGACACACTCTCTGAACCATGAGTGGAATGCTGAAATGTCTGTTGGATGACTCCAGGAATGAGAGGAACCTCGCCTCAGAAGATGGTCCCTCACACAGACCTCAGACTGTTGGAGAGTGTGACGGTGTTTGCAGAAGCTCCTGAAGACCAATACCGCTCTGCTATAGCTTTACAAACACCTTGCAGAATATGCTAAATGTTAATCATTTTAAAAGGATCATGAAAATAGCTGAAAATGAAAATAAGCTGCTTCACAACAGATGCTTACATTTACTTCACAAGACAACTCAAATTGAATTAAATTGATAAAATCTGTTCAAAATTGTACATACCCTTTAACCGTAATACTGTGCGTCATTACCTGGATGATCCACGACTGTTTTTGTTTTATGATAGCTGTTCATGAAAAATCCTCCAGCTGCAGCATCTTCTGCATATTTGACCCCTTTCCAACAGTGACCGAATGACTGGAGATCCATCATCACTCAAACACAACTATTACAGAAGATGAAAACATTTACTGATGCTCCAGAAGAACAGTGTTTAAAGTCATGAGTCCAAAACAGTGTGAATGGAGGTACACACAAACTCATCATCATCATCATCATCATGTCTTCAGAACATTTGTGACATGAGCAGCAGTAATGATATTCACTTCATCTGGCAAAAAAAAAAAAAGATGCAGGGAAATGATGTTTCCGAGCTCCAGGCCTCCATTAACAGATGAGTTACTCGCTCAATATCAGGAGCTCAGCCTGAATGCCACACGTGGACCGCTTGTATTATTTATTATTATTTGCATATTTAAAATCACTCTTCAGTGCGGAGGAAAACTAGTTTGCAAATG